GCGCCACTGTGAATAGAGCGAGAAAAAGGAGAAAAAACACAGAGACACAGATACAAACACAAAGAAAAATAGAGAGAGAGAGAGAGAGTAACAGAAGGAGGGAGTGGGAGTAATAGAGAGAGAGAGGGGGGGGAGGGAGACAAAGAGAGAGGAAGAGAGGGTTGAGAGAAAGTCAAACCGAAAGAGAAAGAGAATTAGGTTAAATGTATTGATGTATTAATTTTTTATTTCGATACATCTTGAGACAAACGCCCAAGCGATACCGATAAAACGATACTGTTATAGGCTAGCTAAGACGATACCGATACCAGTATAAAAGTATCAATCGATTTGTATCAGATACTATCTCTACAGCATACCTAATAAATCCCACATAGTTTCGTACACGGAAAGTATAATTAGGTAGGCCCACTTCCATTTAGCCTAATGAACCCAAAAATAAAACTGACTTTATCTTCAGATTATTCTAACGGCTGTTAATGGTATAGGACTCTTCTTTATCGTAAATAAAAGATGGGTAATTTGGTTTTACTTCTGATTGTTATTACAATAGCGAGTAAGTTATACAAATAGTTATGTATCTAGCTGTATCTAGCATCCCACTGTGCGCTCTCATTGGCTAAACGTGGTGACGTCATTAGCTCCGCCCCTTTGATCCCAACAATTTGTGTGATATTTTATTGTGTGCATTTCAGTACATTTTCTTTGGAAATGTTTCTGTAATAACAAATGCAAAAAAATAATCGTAAAAAAACAAAACAAAAAACAAAAAAATAGTATTTAATATTTGCAATAAATAAAGCTGATGGGGCTAGGCTTAGCTCAGAAGTTGCCAACTAGTATTTTCATCAAGGTGGAGTGCTCATACCTGTATATGTTCCTTGGATTTGTAGTTTATGTAAACTTTATTGATAATTATAATGTCTATTATTATGAAGAAGAGCATTTTGGAAGATCGGAAAATGCGTTTGCAGTACCGAAGAAATTTTAAGAAAAAAAAGGCTAATGACATTATCTTTCATTCCATTCTCTTTTGCTTATTCATTATTTATTCATTCATTTATCTAATCATTCATTCCAGGGGAAGCAGAGAGAAGGATAGACTGCTTGTTAAGAAACCCTGCCCAAAGGCCTGCCGTCCAAAGGATCACCAGGACTGGACTTTCTGCTGATTCGGATTTTCTGCGGACTTTCTGCTGATTCAGATTTCCTGCGGACTTTCTGCTGATTCAGATTTCCTGCGGACTTTCTGCTGATTCTTTCTGCTGATTCAGATTTCCTGCGGACTTTCTGCTGATTCAGATTTCCTGCGGACTTTCTGCTGATTCAGATTTCCTGCGGAGATTCGATTTCCGCGGGATAGATCTCATGTTCCCAAGATCACTGTGTTGTTGTACCGTCTGCTTAGAGAAAGAAGGTCCAGTGATGGATTTTTGGCCTTGTTGGTCGTGCGAGTAGTGAAAGGGTTGTGGAAGAGCATTCGCTGGCGTCCTTTGCTCTATATTGGTGAGGTTTGCTATATTTGAATCGTGTATAGTACTACGAGAGAGTATGGAAGAAGTTCACCTAAAAGTGTTCAGGGTATTGTAGGCAGAACAAATGTGAGACTTGCCTCGACATACCTTTTACAATACGTTCATGCATTTTTTTTTTTTTTTTTTTTTTTTTTTTACATACATACGTAACTATATGCATTACTTGCATACTATATTTAAGATAACACCATGTCAATGAATTGATGATGGCGAAGAAAATTATATATAAGCAACATTTTTATTCTTTAATAAAGCTATTTCTGTTTTTTGTTTGTCATTCAATACATTTTTTTTCTTTTCTTGCCTTTGTAAACATAAGAAAAAAATTTTTTCTTTTTCGGGTAAGGGTTGTTTCGAATGAGTAATGCTTCGTGGATAAAGCTGCTTTATTATTGTTTTTTTTTAAGATAAATCTTCAGGTATTTTTTAAAGGATAATGGTATATAATATAATATATATATATATATATATATATATATATATATATATATATATATTGATAGATATAATCATATATCATGACAGCAGAAGGTATATAAGTATACCTTTCACTGAGTACTTCGTTGTACAATTTCTTTTGGTCTTTTTTATTCAATGTATTTTGATAAAGTAACACAGGTTTAATTTCAAACATAAAGATTTATTTAATATTACATCAGTGTAATCTATCAGGAGGCATTACATACTGTTTCTATTAATTACTCAGAAATATCCCATATACAAAACAACCACATAAGACAAGACAACACAAACATACAAATACACAAACAAAAGTAAACACACATCTCTTATCAGCAGGTGTATTTATACATATGAAAAAGCTAGACACATATGAATCCCTCAGTGTTTTAATAAGGTAATTATTCAGCAATAGCTAGTTGGCTTTGGTTCATAGTTTATATTGTGAAGCATGAGGACGGGTCTTAATAAAAAAAGTCTGTGATTAAGAACCCAAAAACTTTGAG